ATTTACTGTTGTCTGTTTACGATTTTGCCGTTAATTATGAGGTCATGTACAGAGTTTTACCTTCTTCCAAAAGTGGTAACTTTTCCGATGGGGCGGCAACTTTTCTGTCTGGGTCAGGCGACTTTGCGATCCTCGATTTGTTGCTCATCGATCTCCGTGACCGATCGAATCTCAACGCTGACACGTCAGACAAAACGCATGACAGGTGCGACTGAGTTGCGTCGTTGTTTTATTTGCACACATTTATTCGATCAATCGTCGTCATCGATATCACACACTCGGAATCCGCTCGGTTCGGTGATGTGGCGAAATGCGTCGTTGAGAAAGGTGCATTTTCTATGCAACCGGTTTCACTTTTTCGTCTTGCTTCGTGCAACTGCGAAAAACGCCAGCTGGTTAGTATGACTACCGTTCATTCGGCAGTTATGAACCGGCGGTCTCAGGACCGGATGACCTAAACTAATAAATACAATTGTACTGAGTCGTCAAAACTACCGACTGCCTTCCTATACAATCTTGATGTTGCGTATCAATAGGATTAGCGATTCTTTTGCTACTTAATTACAAACACAACTAAACTCTGGTTTTCTGCAAAAAAAACAATGCACAACGAATAGGGAACAAAATCGTTTCTGCTAAGCGATCAAACTTCACCTAATCTCTTTGCAATTCCTAGCTCCCAAAGGAAAGCTTCTGATCGAATCCAAGCATCACAATCTGGGTCAATAGAACAGTCAAGCAACCTGACCGGTCACCAAACCTCAGTAAATCTCAAGGTGCTGTTCAGGAAAGTAAATAAGTAAATAAACAAATTGCAATGCGAAGGAATGAGTAATATCAATGAGAGGTACGCATAACAATCAATTACGTAGAGTACCCTTTTCGTGGCTATTCAGTTAGCGAACATAGTGTAATCGAACACAGGCTATTCATTTTTTGAATGAAAAAAAAGGAAAATCGAAACCTTATTGCTGGTAAACTTTCCCTTCTTAGGTGAGAGGAGTCAAAATTTGCTGAATTGCAATTGTAACATATAGCAATATTTATTCTTACTCTGCAGAAGCTGACGATGACATTCTCGCTTTCAACTCATGTCGCTGCTTTCCTTATCAGCTAAATGTTCGGGTGATGATAGACAAAAATAATATTTGGTCGAAAGGAATGGCAATTTCCACTTAACATATTCCTTCTTCTTTCGATGCTTAACTTTTTTGAAACGGGAAGTTTTGTTTTGTGACCTTTTTCATCTTTCTGCTCATACTCTTGTTTAAATTGCCTTGTCGGTTATCTACGAGGGTGGCTGTATTCAAACTGCGACTGTAAAGTGCAGAATTGTGTATATCATTAAAAGTTCATGCCGTAACTGGGATAAAAGAATTAGAATATCACTCTATGCGGAGAATGTAGCCTCTCTTAGCAACATCTAAACATTCCGATTTAAATGTCACTTTGCCGCCAAATTTCGCATCTAGCTAAGTTTTAGGATTTCAGCATCCAGTGTGAAAATTAACTGGCCTAAGGAAGGCGATGAACTTCAGAAAAGAAGTCTTTATTTTAACTGTCAACGGTTTATTTTCCTAATTTTCAGATCAGAAACAACAGAATGGAGAAATTGCCTCGCTTGAAACTTCGGAACCACCGCCGTCTGAAAAATATATTCTATTACGGGTGGTGGCTTGCAACAGTAACGACTCTGACTGTGCTAATATGTTTCCTTTTTCAACATCACAGTGGAAGGCTGAAATCAGCCCAAATGTTAAACTCGCCTTTATTTTACCGATTGCAGAAGGAAGAGGGCAGTGGAAAGCTTACGAATTACCTTATATCAAATGATAACTTCTGTTTCGATGCAAACGTTGACAACCTCACCATTGTCGCGATTGTTTTGTCCCACCCAAGTAATACTTTTCAGCGCTTCCTCATCAGAAGCACTTGGGCGGAAAAGTTGCTATTTAATCGATTTCGATTTGTTGTCTTGTTTGCGATGGGCGTGTCGCCAGAGGCGAAAAAGCATGAACAAGCAGCTGTTCAACTTGAAAACTATCGGTTTCGCGACATCATCCAACAAGAGTTTCACGATACATACAGAAACCTCACATACAAATCAATGATGATATTGCACTGGGCATCAAGAAACTGTCGTCAGGCTAGATATCTGCTGAAAGTAGACGACGATATGTTTATAAACATGCCTGGCCTCATCAAATTCCTCGATAATAAGTTATCCACTGATGGATACTCTCCGGATGCGATATTTTGCACAGTATTTTACTCTTTCCAGCCAGTTAGAGACAAAGGAAATGTATGGTATGTCAGTCCGGAGTTATTCAACGAATCCGTGTACCCAAATTACTGTTCTGGAACATCGTACCTGATTCCGATGGAAATGGTTGCGCCAATTTGGGAAAAAATGAACATAAGCGAAGTGATGATGATAGAAGATGTATACGTCACGGGAATCATTCGTGAAAAACTAAACATGACTCTGATCAATATCGCGCACAACTTTTGTGGAAGCGTTGATGATGACAAAAATCGATGCTTATTCTATCACTATCTAGCACCCTTGGAACAGCGTCTGACTGCATGGCGAAAGCTTGATGATATTTTCATCAAAGATTTTAGGGACAATTAAAATATTCGTTATGTTTTCACCTGACAGGGTGCAAATTCGTAATATCACTCACAGGTAATCGGCTATACTGTATTCTATCCCTATTCACTTGATTTCAACAATAATATCATTCGATGAATTTTTTAATAAATATGTTCCCAATATGAACTAGAAATTGTGTACTACGAGCAAGCAATTCGCCGATTTTCATTACACTGCATTGCAGTTGTTAAACCTTGAATGTACGAATGTAAATCGAAAAAATTATGATATACGAGACAACGTCACGCAAGAGTTTTATTCCAATAATAATAATAATAATATTCTCATAATCAAACCTATCTACCGCGTGTGATCTGCTATTTATACAGACGAAATGTTGGAAGCCGACCAGTTTAAATATCACCGCTCTACCGTTATCGGCGATAACAGCACTAAAACAAAGTTGACTAAGAGGATTGCCCTCGACTCCTTTGAGTCAAATAACTTGCCGAATACTTGGACTGCTAAAATAGTAACCCTTTCCAGAAAACATTCGGCTGTACGTGGTCTTTGTCAGGCCTCTGTCTTTCTACAGCATGTAGACAGTTGCTTTAACAACGGGCAAACAATGACGGTTGAACTGCGTACAGCAGCGATAGCTTCGACGCAAGGTAGGGTCAAGTTGCAGGACCACGCAAGTAACCGTGCCATCCTTTACGGGACGCGAGTGGCCGGCGTGGATGCCTCGTCAGACAAACTGAACTGGCATAGATTATTAGCACTAACCGATAAGCTAATCGCTTGAGAGACAAAATGCTGCGGGCATAGAACATGAATGAACAACACAGAAGAAGAAAAATCAGAATAACTGTTTCTTCTTTGGTGTAATAATATGTACCATACGCAATGGTGTAACAATGAAACAATTAACACTGAATGCAACGCAAATCACAAAACAAACGTTCTGCTTACGTAAATGGCTGGAGTAGAAGATGTGAACAAACACAAAAGATAAGCATATGTCCCTGTGGTCAGCTTGTTTTTGAAAACCCCGAGGTCTTCATCATGCATCAAGCACTTGAAAAGGGTCGATGTAGATTTTTTTTTAATTTTGGAGAAAACAGGGATCACAAAAGGACGGAGCTCGCACGAATATCAGTGCTGTTTTCTACCGGATAGGTTGTTAAACTAAAGTGATATATCGCTGAAACGCATTCTGTTTCATCTATGTTATTTACGGAGAACCGACTATGTGAAATTAACAGAAGAATAGAAATGACACTGAGAATTTTCCGAAGACTGAAAATTTTCCTATAAGGAAAATTACCTTCATTATTATAACGGAAATTTTTCGATCGCTGTGTGGATCTAGAATTCGATAACAGTACTAACCTACAAGTGCGTTTAACTATTCACTGACACAGACCATGAAACACACCACAGAAAGATGTATTTCGGGAATAACAAGGAGCGATAAGGAGAGAAATGACTGGATAAAGGCACAAACAATAGTCTGTACTGTCATTGCCCGAAAGAAAAAGTTGAAGTGGCAATGATCAGAACACATTACAAGAATCGCTAGACCAGGTAGGCAATAAACTGGGTTCAGATAGGAAGTAAACTGCCTGTAGAAAGACCTATAGATTGATGGCAGGATGAATTGGATAATGATACAACAAGGCTGGGTACTGAAGCGTTGATGGTGCAGCAATCGAAT